AGATAGAAAGTTTTAATTTTCTTTTCATCCAAGTATGGACTATGTTGACTTGGCCAAAACGTTTGGTATAAGGACAAAGTTCAAATGTTTATGGCTTTACTTTTTTAAACTGACTTGTGAAATAGAAGGACATTTTTTTCCTATAATCAGTGTTTGATCAGTGAGGAAATATGGGTATCTCTAAAGGATCAGGATGAATTTTTAAAAATAACTGTGTGGTCTTAATGATAACAAAACTAATATGACAATGTATCTGGGATAGTTAAAATGTTTTTATATGTATATGCATACACACATGCACTTGTTCTGCTCATGCACATTTCTTGATAAATTGTTTATCAGTAATTGTGACCTTCAATAGTGAATATATCTCAGGAAGGAAGGAATATTTTTGTTTTTAGCAGTGCTTCTTTTGATACCTAATTTAGTAATAGTCTTCGTTTCCAGACACTGGCCTAGTACCAGAGAGCTCTTAAGCTGGTACCTGCTCTCTTACAATACAGATATTTACCTTAAGAACAACTTCAGTTCCATGTGTGCCCACCACCTCATGTGCACAGCTGAGGTGCACACCTGAGGCAGGAGGATCACAAGTTCAAAGCCAGCCTCAACATCTTAGCAAGGCCCTAAGCAGCTTAGCAAGACCCTGTCTCTAAATAAAATATATAAAAAAAGGTATGCAGCTGTGGCTCAGTGGTTAAGCACCCCTGGTTCAATCCCTGGTACAGAAAAAGAAAAAAAAAAAAAGACAAGGAACCTTGCTATATTTAAAGAGTCTGAGACTTGACATATAAATATAAGGTCTGATCTTGGATTGAATCCTGGATGAGAAAAAAAATTGTAGATTAGATAATTTTTATTGCATTAATGACAACCTCCTTGATTCTGATAATTGTACTATAATTAAATAAGTAAATCTCTGTATCCTGAGGAAAAATAAGCTGAAATATCTAGGGGAAAAGAACATGATGATTTCTGCAATTTATTCTAAGTGATTCAGAAAAAAAAATTATCTTTTTATGCATACAGACATAGAACAATAGAGCAAATGTGGCAAAATGAAAGCAATTAGTGAATTTGGATGAAGTGCCCTATAGTTGCAAAATTTGTATATTCAATTTTAAAAAGTAAATCAATCTTCTATAAGGTATACCTAGGAATAGAACTGCTAAGTCACAGGGTCTGATTTTTTTTGATTTACTACACAGCATCAAATTGTTTTCCAGTATGGTTGTGTTACAGAGCTGAGGGCTTTCAAGAAACTGAGTCAGCATGCAGATTCCCCCAACCCTAATTCTTGCAATCAAATCAGAAAAATTTCAGACGTGTAACTTAGAGTGAAGGGATAGGAAAAGGGAAAGGGGACATTCTCAAGGGAGAGAGTGGGTCATTTCAGAGAGGAGAGGGACAGTGTGCCTTTCCTGCACTTTAGTTTTATTGGGGGATCCCAGAGAAGTTTCCAGAGAATCCTGCCCAGGTCTACTTCTTGACTTTTAACTGACAGCAGGATGCATCAGAGTTTGAAGTCCCCGCTGCCATGACAACTCTAGGTCACCTTGGTCCAGGCTGACTGTTCTAATTGGAATTTTAAGCATAAATTCCTACAGATTTTATGGTTAGTAGGAATTATCCTTATCTCCCTGAGCTTCAGAATCTGGTCTATGAAAAGGGTCACAAAGGTCTCCCCCTTCAGGGTAACTTGGGTTCTTCTTATCAATATTCTTTCAGGCCAGTAGTTGTTCTGCAGATAACAGGTAATTTGCTGAGGAATGTGACACATCCTGTTCACTTAAACCAGGCAGGGCTGCAGGTAAATTGCTTCTTGGAAAAGAAAGCATATGGGGATTAGCATAGTGGGCCTATTTTATAGAATTATTCTCTTGACTTTGTGTTCCCACAATTTGCATCTGTCTGTCCCCTGTCAGTTGTACTAATTACATTCCTGTCATCTACATCTTCATCAACACTTGATATTATCAGGTTTAAAATTTTTATCAACCTTATGGGTATGAAATTGTATCTCATTGTAGTTTAGTTTGCATTTTTCTGATTATAATGAGGAAGAACATCTTTTCAAATGTTTAGTCAATAAGGTTTCGTCTTTGTTTCTTTCTTTTTTTTTTTTTTTGGCCTGAAATATAGCATTTCATGTTCCCTGGCCTTCAAAGTTTCTGTGGATAACTCTTATGTTCTTCTTATTGTGTCAATCTACAGATACATTTTTTTTAAGAGAGAGGAGAGAGAGAATTTTTTTTTTTTTTTTTTTTTAGTTTTAGATGGACACAACAACTTTTATTTACTTATCTTCTTACATGATGCTGAGGATGGAACCCAGTGCCCCACTCATGCTAGGCAAGTGCTCCATCACTGAGCCACAACCCCAGCCCATTAAGGTTTAGTTTTATCTGAATCGTTTGACATATTCTTAGTCTTTTTTTTTTTTTAACTGAGTTCCTCTGATTTTCTTTCTACTAACTTTTTGTATGTCTTATTGTATTCTGGAAATTTATCTTTTATCATTATTGTTGTTCATGTGAATGTGTATTTTATGGTCTAGGGTTCAATTCCAGGTGGGCAAGTGCTCTACCCCTGAGCTAGATCCCCAACCTTCCATATATTTTTGAAAAATGCTGAACTAAAATATAAAAGTGAGTTACATGTATTTGAGTTACACAGAATAAACTAGGTCAGGGGGCAGAGAAAATATTGCACATCAAGTGTGTGGAGGCCTCAGGACTGGCTTCTGTTTATAGATCAGTTCTCTTGTAACTCAGGTAAATAATGTGAAGCAACTTTAAATTGCATTCTTATCGCTGACTCTTCTAAAGAAGAATATGTTTAGAAAGTCTGTCCTCTGTCCCTAATGTATTTCATTCAGACTTAGTAAAAAACTCATTCTTCTCTCCTACTTGTAGATATTTTAAAAAATTGATATATTTCTAAATAATGAAACTTTTACACTATTAGGTATTGGTCAGTATTTGGATTGAATAATCTACTCTGAGCAGTACTGCAATGTCCATAAAGTAAGAGGGTAATTCATCAGGAACACTATCTTTGTCCACCCTCTAATACTAATTAAAGATGAAGAAAGGTTAGAACTGACTCCTGAAAAAGATAGCCTAATGATCATTGAAGAATTTATTATTCTAAATGTTAAAATGATTAGATGTTAGCTTTGCATGTGGGGCAACAACCCCTCTCCCTCCAAGAAAACCCCAAACCAAAAATCACAAAATGTCAACCCTATTAGGAAACTTAAAAAATTTCCCACTCCTTTATTTTAAAAAAAGACACCCATGATGGAAGTGGTCTAAGTCCTCTGTCCTTTTTCCTCCAGTGCATCATGCTGCCATTTCATAGGGAAAAAAAAGAAAGAAGTTTTCCAATTCTTTCTATTGATGCATATATCAGATCAGTCTTCAGGGGCTTGACAATACAGGGCTCTCAGTTCTGCTCATTGATTTCCTGGTAACCTGGAAAATGAGAAAATCAAAGGGGAATCTCCTTTCAGGGATTTAATATCTTCATCTCCACTTCAAAAGAAAAGATTTTTCTTTGTAGCATAATGTAGGGAGTAAATTCCTCTGTGACACACCCCAGAGGAACAAAGGGGTAGTCATGTTAGGTACTGTGTACATAGTGACTCTTTCTTCTTTGAAGGTCTTCTCACTTATATTCATACTGAGTCCTTAGAACTGGATGGGAATAGTCATTTTTTAATTTACAAAAAAAATAATGCTGCTTTAAAAATCTTTGAATTGTGTTCTTTTTTTTTGGGGGGGGAGGGTAATGACTAGAGATTGAACTCAGGGGAGGGGGCAGTTGGCCACTGAGCCACTGCCCAGCCCTATTTTGTATTTTATTTAGAGACCGGGTCTCACTGAGTTGCTTAGGGCCTCATTTTTGCTGAGGCTGGCTTTGAACTCAGGATCCTCTGTCTCAGCCTCTGGAGCCACTGGAATTACAGGTGTGCGCCACTGCACCCAGCTGAATTGTGTTCTTTATGGAAAATACAATATCACTGTGGAGAAGAAAATCAAATCCCATTGCCCAAAGATAGCCACTTAATGTTTTTTTTTCTTGGTGCTTTTCCTATGTTTATATGTTTCATGGAGTTAAACTATAGTTTAAGATTCCACTTCTTTTCACTTAGCATAAGAAGATTTATTAATAACTGCATTAGATGTCATTGCCTGGATTGATTATAATGAAGAGCACCACAAAGGACACTCTTTCCTACATTTCTTATGATTAATTTCTAGAATTAGAATTACTGATCATCAGCAAAACTATTTTTAGTTTTTCATGACAAACCAACTTTGAAACTAGTTGCTAATAGTTTTATACTCATGTGGAATATATGTGTACCTGTATCATTTGACATTGAACTTCATCATGAAACAAAACATATTGCTGATTTGGTAATGTAAATCAGTGAGTTGCTGTCTAATTCAAATGTCTTTCAAAGAGTTTTGATTTATTTATTCGTGATTTATGTTGCTTCTATTAAATCAGTTCATGAAGTTTACTTACTTTTCTGCAGGATCCTGGGCTTTTCTTATTAAATACTTTTTGTATATTAAAAACATCTATTTTTGCCATTTGTGGTAAACACCTTTTGCCATTTGACTTGGTTTTTGACTTTATGGCTTTTATCGGGGAGACATAAGTCTTTATTTTTACACTGTTCAGATCTTTATCTGAGCAGACTATTTCTGTGAAGTTCTTTTGCCAATTGTGTAGAGAGGAAGATCAAGAGGAGAGGGTTATGGAGAACAAAAATTCCTCCATAGTTAATTGAAGTCATTGGGTAAGGACCATTTCATGCAGATACTGATTTCACCTCTCTTTCCACTGCAATCGCTGGTCTCATTTTTGCAATCTTCATGTCACCCATTAAACTTGTTTTCCTTATTCTATACAGTTAACATTGCCTCTTTGGTTGGTTGTTCTTTTGTCCTACGGCATTTTCTCATATCCTGATGCTTTCTTTTAAGGTATTATCCAAAGAGATGAGTCACCCATGGAAAAAGGGCTCTCTGGTCTGCGAGGAAGGGACTTTGAGCTGTCTGATGTGTTTTATTTCTCCAAGAAGGGATTGGAAGCCATTGTAGAAGATGAAGTGACCCAGAGGTTCTCCTCAGAGGAGCTAGTGTCATGGAATCTCCTCACAAGAACCAATATAAATTTCCAGTACATCAGTCCTCGGCTCACTATGGTGTGGGTGTTGGGCGTCATAGTACGCTATTGTGTCCTACTACCTCTGAGGTAAGTCACCTGCCTGATAATTTATTGGTATAATCAGTTCACCTTTCTCTTTTCATCACTTATGAATATTGTGGTACTAATTCCACCTCTTCCCACTTAAAAACGCCACAGAATGTGGCCTTCGCACATTTGTTTTCACTAGATGTAGGTGTGTGTTCAGAATTCAATATCTAGCTTACAATCTGGATCCACTTTGTTTTTGCAGTCATAGATAATTTGAGGATGGCTAGAAAAGGGAAGGTGGGAAGTTAGAATGAAGAGAGATGATTTATAGTTCAATATTTACCAGAGTGTCAACCAAAATATAACATCTACCCAGAGCCACTGCCTTTCTTTGCTAGTCTGTAATACTTCAAAGCTACCTAGGAAAGAAAAACATCTAGAGTGGTTATCACAGAGCCACTGGGAAGAGTGAATCCATCCATCCAATTCCATTATGATCATTCATTTCCCTTATTGGCAATTTCCCTACCTGGATACCCTTCTGCTTCTAGGCTTGAGTTCTTCTTGATGAGGAGGTAACCTCAAGCCTGCTTACTGGATTCACAGTGTGGAACTAAAGAGTAGAAGACCCTGGGCAGTGGGGTGAAGCAGCAGTGATCAAGAATCTGTTTAGCATGGTGATGGCAAGAGTAGGCATGCCTACCAGCCACAGCCTTGCAGCTGATGGTCTTGCTTCATTTTCTGGGCCATGGCCTTGGCATCTTCTCAACAGAGCTTTCCAGGCAGTTGCTGCCAGCCAACTAACATTGGCACAAGAGTTGAAACCTCTTTACCATCCCTAGGGTGGCTTATACTTGCCTCATTCAGATTTCTTACAGCGGAAGGCTTGCTTAAGTATAGACAAGTGCTGATCTCCAAGAAGTTCTTTCTGTTTTCTTTTGTTCATATTCTCAGTGTCTCAACACTGGAGCATAGTAGTCTTTTGGGAATCACTTCAGCTGTAATAACAAAGTGAACTTCAGGGATTTGCAGACACTTTTCATTTTGGTGGTACTAGGGATTGAACACAGGAGTGCTACACTGAACCAATGTCACATCCTTGGCCTTTTTAATTTTTTGAGACAGAGTACCTAAGTTGCTTAGGTCCTCACTAAATTGCTGGAACTTGCAATCCTCCTGCCTCAACCTCCCTAGTCACTGGTATTACAAGTGTGCACCATAATGCTTGACTTGTCACATGCAAGTATATGTAAACCTTTTTTTTTATTATTATTATTTTTGCAGGGGGGTACCAGGGATTGAACTAGGGGCACTCAACCATTCAATCATATCCCCAGCCCTATTTTGTATTTATTTAGAGACAGGGTCTCACTGAGTTGCTTAGGACCTCGCTTTTGCTGAGGCTGTCTTTGAACTTGTGATCCTCCTGCCTCAGCCTCCCAAGCTGCCAGGATTACAGGTGTGTGCCACCGTGCCCAGCCAATTTTGCTGAAAACTTAAGCTAGTGCTTCCTGTGAGGGGTTCATGTGCTCTTAGAATGCACATGACAATTCATTGTCACACAGGAAGGAAACACTAGAATTTTTGTTAGAAGCTTCTATTCTTTTTATAATTAGAACTACCATTTTATTCTTAAAGAAGTGAAAGTTCAGTTAAGTTTAATATATGAATTAGTTCTTGCATATTCTGGTTCATAGATCAGGCAGTGTATCCGAGGTAACCTCGGGAAAGGGTGAGAAATTCTATAACATGGAGTGCTTAAGATGCCTCATTTGTTGTTGGTTAGACTTCACTATGCTGTGAAGGCCCAGCAAATGTGGTTATGATTCTGTTATCTAGTTTAGACTAAACTAGTGCTCACAAAAGAGATGATTGACATGAAAACTTTTGTAAATAAACCACAGATTTTAGATAGTCATATAATGTAAATATACAGGAACAAAAGAAAAATGGCAGAATTGGTACCTACTCTGAGTACAAATCATTGTAAATGATTTGTAGAAGAAACAAATGTGACAAATTGAGCATTTAAAAAACAGATTATACTAAAATTAATTGTGATGGTTGCACAACTCTGTGACTATGCTCCAAATTGTTGAATTGGATACTTAAAAGTGTGAATCATGTATGTGATCTGTATCTCAATAAAGCTCTTAAACAGATTGTAACTGAAAATTTGTATCTGGTCTCACTGAAAGATAACTTATCTGAACTTATCCAGGAGAATGCTCATGTTGGCTTATGTTAAGAATTTTCTGGCTTATTAATCTAGGAAAAAATAATTCAATTACAATTATTTTGAACTCAATTGCTAGACAACATTATAATATAACCCTTTCTGATTTAATATGTAAAAAGGAGTGATTCTTATTAGGGAAAGATGAAAAACATTATTTGAAAAGTTTTGCTAATTAAACAATGGTTTCATTACTGTGTTAGTGACTAACATGAAAATATGGCATCTGGTTATGACTTTCAAACTATTATGTCAAAAGATGTTAAACCATGACTTCAGAAGATTTAACACCTTAACAAAGTAGTTATAGCTTAACATTCAAAAAGGTTATAGGTTAACACTCAGAATATAATTGACAACATTTATTATTTATAATTACTATTTTGAGTGAGAGAAAAAAATTTTCTACATTAATATTTATATATAATTTTTAAATACTATGTTTAAAAAAATAAAAATATCTCTAAACTGGGCTTGGTGGCACACACCTGTAGCATCAGTGACCAGATGGGCTGAGGTAGGAGGATCTCAAGTTCAAAGCTAGCTAAGGCAACTTGTTGAGACACTGCCTGAAAATAAAATTTTAAAAAATTTATATATTTTTTTACATTCTTCATATTTGCAAGTATTTTATAATGTGCATGATGTCAGTACAGTGGAATATATTGTCATTCTTAAATATACTAGGGGTACATGCTCAGATGTGTTGATAGGGTGTTTCCCCAACCAGGCTGATATTACTGCCTTAAGCTAATTTTCTATATTAAATAATCCTAAACTGATTTGTTAAATAATAAAAATGATAAGCTAGTGAGAAACAGTAACATAATTGTTAGGAGCATAAATTATGGAGCCAAACTGCTGGGGTTGAAATTCTGGCTTTGCTGTCCATTGGCTCTATAACCTTAGGTAAGTTATTTAACCTTTCTTTGTCTCAGTTTCTTCATCTGTTGAATAGAGATGTTGATAATGTTATTGCCTCATGGAGTTTTTGGGATGGATAAATGTGTTAAGTACTTAGAATATTGCCTGGCACATAGTGTTAGCTGTTATTTTATCATCATCTAATGTAAGATCTGAGATGGGTTAAGATAAACTATTTTGTGCTCTCAACATCTGGTCAGGAGGTATAGATATATACAAATAAGGAGCAAACCACTTTGACCCTGGAGAGATTTGCTATTGCTGACCCTGGACCTCAGGTAGCTCCCAGACCCACAGGGTCCTTCTGACTGCAATGGCATTTCCTTCCATCAGGTTATTGATACCTTATATATTCAGCAAAACATGGGAAGGCTCTCTTGAGAACTAGAAGATACAAACAGACCTCTGGTTCGATTTGAGAGGCCAGTGAGATAATCTAAAGTTCCTGTTTTCTCATCTGACAAAGTAAAATGGTTTAAGGAATCTTATTAATAAAATGCCATTAAGCTATTGATTCTTACTTTTAATCTAAATCCTATTTGCTTTAGAAGGATTTTAAATCTCACCCTCATCTTTTTGAGTAATTCTATTTGCATTTCTAGAAATAACTATTTCCTTTGTTAAAGTGATCAGAATGTACATAACAAGCACTTTTCAAAAATGAGAAAATGTCTACATGGAGATTAGAGGTATTATCAGTCACCTTGTTTTCTAATTCTAAGTCATCTTGAGCCATGCAAAGGGACAATAGTTAGCTTTGCATTAAAAGATTCCTACCTAGTGGCATGTTTTGGTATTAGTATGAGAAAGGCTTCATAACTATCTTAGCCCTTTAATGATTACATAGATTGAACTTTAGTTTTGTTAGGAAATTTTCAGGCTTTTCTCTTTCTCTCTCTCTCTCTCTCTCTCTCTCTCTCTCTCTCTCTCGAGAGAGAGAGAGAGAGAGAGAGAGAGAGAGAGAGAAAGACTAGTTACACATATATGCTTATTACTTTGAAAGTGGTATCATATGCCACACAATTATTTCAAAACTTTGCTTTTTTCCATTCAAAATGTATCACACAACACTCAATAGAATCATGTCAAAATCTTTATCAACTTTTTTTTGGTACTGGGGATTGAGCCCAGGGGCACGTCACCACTGAACTGTATCCCCATTCCTTTTTATTTTATTTTTTTTTTATTTTGAGACAAGACCTCAGTAAATTGCTGAGGTTTGCCTCAAACTTGCAACCCTTCCACCTCAGCCTCCCAAGTGACTGGGATTACTGGTGTGCAACACCATGCCCGGCCTGATGTATTATATTCCATAATGAGGATGCTGTACAGTTCATTTATACTTTATTTGTGAATCTTTAGATTATTTCCCCTTAGGTTATTTACCTACTATTTGACAAATTTTGCATTAAGTTTTCTTTTCTTTTCTTTTTCAGGGTTACTCTGGCTTTTATTGGGATCAGTTTGCTGGTTATAGGAACTACACTGGTTGGGCAGTTGCCAGACGGCAGGTGAAATGTTTCCTTCCATCCAGTCATAAAATAAAACTCTCCTTTTTCCTACCTGTGTCCACAAAGACAGTATTTGCTTAGTGCCTACATATTGCATTGAACTCATCATATCTACCCACTTATTAGAATTCTGCTCACTTCATCTTCATACTCATTCTTTGATTTTTTTTTCCATTGTGCTTCCATATAAATCAAAAGAAATTTCTTCAAAGGAGAGAGGGAGCTATTTTCCATTGGAGTTTCTGTCTATTTTCTTGGTAAACTTTTGCCATCTAATAATACCAGATGTATCAATGAGATTGTAAGAATCCTACTGTGTTTTTTCAATGGAATAGAACACAGGATGCTGTTGTGAATGAGCACATTAAAAATTTTCTTGTATTGTTTCTTAGGAGAGCCCATTACTGCACAATAAAATGACTTCTTATTCTTTCAGACTCAAAAACTGGCTGAGTGAAATGGTACATCTGACTTGCTGTCGGATCTGCGTGAGATCTCTCTCTGGCACCATCCATTATCATAACAAGTGAGTGTCCTAACTGTGCGGTTAGGAAGTTCAGGCCAGGCCCTGTGCTTCTCACGGGTCAACGCTATGGGATGGGCATGTTACCGCATTTTACATGGAAGAAATGGGAGCTCTGAGACTGGTTGTGTATAAATAATAAGTTTATTATATAATAAGTTTCCAGTTTTGAGTCAGTTCTGTCTGATTTAGAAAATGAAATTCACAGGCTTATGATGTTGTTGGAATCCAGGGGGTCCCTTTTTGGTTTTAGTTTTGCCACTTCTAAAATTCCATAACTGATCCTTAAAAGAAAATACTATATTCTCCTTGCCTCACCCCCAAAGAGTATAAAGGTAGCTAAGGAAGGCTATTAGCTAAATGATAATTATTCTAATTGCTTTTAAACTATATTTCTGTGAATTCAATTTTAGTTAATTAAAAAATCATTGCTGACGGTGTCTTTCTGACTCATTTGTAGAAGGGAAACATTCAGAAAACCAATTGATTTTACCATGTGTTACCAACATAAAGGCCCCTTAAAAATTTTAAATTATGTGATTTATCCATTGGGCTATGAGTTTTAAGGTAAGAAATAGAAGAAAATCTCTGACAGAAGTGTGATCAGAGGATACATCTTCTACAGAAAAGGTGCTTTATTGACATAGATAGGTGATCCTAGCTTATTATAGAAGTGCTCCTAATTTTAAGGAAAATATACTAAAGTTATTATGTGTTTGTTTCCCTCTTCTATGAATAAGCCTGACAAAAATACTTTACTTTATTGGTGTCAACTCTCATTTAACTCTAGGGCAGAGATAGGCAAACAAAACTATGGGCCTACAGGCCATATCTGACACTCTTTCTGTCTTTTGTAAATAAAGCTTTATTGGAACCCAGACATGCTCATTTATTTGCATGTTATCTGATGTGGCCTTTGTGCCACAACAGTAGAGCTGAGTAATTGTGGCAGAGATTGCTTGGCCTGTACAATTTGAAGTATTTACTCTTTGTCTCTTATCAAAAAAGTTTGCTGACCTCTGCTGTAGTGGGAGAAGAGGGAGGAAGCCATGGTGAAGATTTACTCTCTGAATCACCATGAAGCCAGTAAAAGTGGTAGTTATGAAGATCAAAATCATATGAAAATACTTTCAATTAAGTAAGCAAAAATTTAGGAATTATAAAGGGAAAGTCATAGGCCTCCTTACCCTATTTCCTATAAATAACCTTTTGAGATAGTCTTTCCTGTACCTCCAAGTACACTTTAAAAAATGAGCCTCTCCATGCTTTTCTGCAAAACAATGGCTGTTTTCTGAGGGTTAGTACTTACCATTGTTTGTAATTGCAGGCAGTACAGACCCCAGAAGGGAGGCATTTGCGTTGCCAACCACACCTCTCCAATAGACGTTTTGATCTTGACCACAGATGGATGTTATGCTATGGTAAGAGCAGTCCATTGGTAATTCTAGTGGTTGTGTCTTTTATGATTTGTTCAAATTTGTTATCCTTTTTGATAAATTTGAAAGTTTGTCTCTTATTAGAAATTTGGGTTATATTATTGCTGTTGAATAAAGCATTCTAGATTTACATGAGGAAGAGATGGTGCAAGAAAAAGAAAATAGACTGGACATGGTGGTGTCCACTTGTAATCCCAGTGATTTCGGGAGGTTGAGGAGGATCACAAGGTTGAGGTCAGCCTCAGCAACTGAAGGAGACCCTGTGTCAAAATAAACAATAAAAGGAGCTGGGAATGTAGCTCAGTGGTAAAGCAACCCAGAGTTCAATCCCTTGAAGAAAGAAATGAAAGAAAGGGAGGGAAGGAGGAAGGAAGGAAGGAAAGAAGGAGAATAGCCATTAATATTTAAAGTAGTGAATAATTAACTTATTGAAATGTAGACATACTTCAACTTGGTAGGACTTGGTAAAGTTGATTCCATTTTGCTTCTAAAATCCCTGCCAATATTTAATAACACTTTGCAACATTAGAGTCTTCCTTCTTTGAGTTGTACAAATCCCCTAGACTGTCAATTAGTTCTTTCTTCCTTCAGGGATGTATATGCAATTAAAAAAAAATCTGACTCTTTAATGAGGCTCTAGCAAGAAAGGCAAATATTTATACTATACTATCTTTCTCAGATCTTATCCATAGACTCAAAAGAAAAGAAAGGAAAAGAAAACAGAACAACCCTACTAACAAACCACAAAGCACATAGTAAAACCAGGCTTTAAAATACCCTTTCATGGGGATGCACAAAACCACATTCTGGCATTTTTTTCAAATATTTGTTTTCTATTGCCATGAAATATTTGTCGAGAGTTCCTGCATCTCTTTTACGTGTCAGATGAATTCTAGACAATAATGGAAGATGTGCTTTTCTTCATGGTAGTTAACCATGACCTGAGGTGGAGTGTGGAACAGAATGCTTGCACAAAGGTCCTGGCGGATCTGTTCATATTCTCTTGCTGGTGGGTTGGACTTCAGAGAGAGCAGATGAGTTATATTTCACCAGTGTTATCACATAGTAGAAGTGGAAGGGCCAAGATGTAACAGACTGCTCTTGAGAGCCCTTTTTATAATGGCATTAATTTATTTTATTATTTATTTTATCTAGACACTCCCATTTAAGCCCCATCTCTTAATACAGTCACATTGGCAATTAAATTTCCAATATTGATTTCTGGGAGACATATCACACTAACACTGCTTAATCATGATTTTGTGTTTCTAAGACTATATTTCTTCTATTTCCTGATCAACAAAGTTGAGAATAATGCATTGGTGACTCAGGGCCTCAGAATTTTGTTGGTATCATCCATACTTTTTGATCATAAATAACTGTAATTCCATTAATAGCCAAGGTTTAAAAACACCTTGTAACTACAGGGTGCACACCTGTGATCTCAGCATCTTGGGAGGCTAAGGCAGGAGGATTGAAAATTTGAGGCAAACCTCAGCAATTTAGTGAAATGCTGTCTCAAAATAAAAAAACAAAAGGGCTGGGGATATATATAACTCCGTGGTAGAGCATCCCCTGGGTTTAATCCTCAGTACTGGGATTGGGGGTGAGGTTTAAGCAAAGCAAAGATTTGCTACTGCAAATTGTCTAGGGGGTCAAGTGATAGAAATATAAGACCAATGGTACTTAATTGGAGGTGGTACAAGGCAGAAGTTGAAGGAAATTGTATTGCTGACCTGAGGAAGTCATAACTGGCTAAATAAACTACTTATTAGAGCAACATTAAAGATTTTTCTCTCCATGGTTTATTGTTTTTTTAAATTAACTTATTTATTTATTTATTTACTTTTTTGGTACCAGGGATTGAACTCTGGGACACTCGACCACTGAGCCACATCCCCAGACTTATTTTGTATTTTATTTAGAGACAGGGTCTTGCCGAGTTGCTTAGGGCCTTGCTTTTTGCTGAGGCTGGTTTTGAACTTGCGATCTTCCTGCCTTAGCCTCCTGAGTTACTGGGATTACAGGCATGTGCCACTGAGTCTGGACTAAATTAACTTATTTTAATTGACAAAAACTATATAAGTTTATTGTATACAGAATGATGTTTGGTACGCATATACTTTGGAATCTTTAAATCAAGCTAATTAACATATCCATTATTTCACTCAATGGCTTTTCTAAACTATTTTTCCCTTCTAAAAAAAATTATAAATGTTTTTAAGCATACAGAAAAGTTGTGATAATAAAGGATATTACATATGCCTTTTATATATATTTACATATTCATATTCATAATGCCTCATTTACTTTATCACTTGAGTTCTTGCATTCTACCCCTCTCATTGTAAGGTGGAAAAATATTTGTCTTTTTTTCTAATTGATTTTTAGTTGTTGATAGATCTTTATTTATTTGTTTATATGTGGTGCTGAGAATTGAACCCAGTGCCTCACACATGCCAGGCAAGTGAGCTACCACTGAGCCCCAGCCCTAGCCCCTTGTCTTGATTTAATATCATGTAAATTTTTTTCATTTTTAATGGCACTTGCTGGTAAATGGATGGGACTGAAGAGTATCATGCTAAGTAAAATAAGCCAATCCCCCAAAACCAAAGGCTGAATATTCTGTTTGATATTTGGATGCTAACACACAATAAGAGGGGATGGGGAAGAATAGAAGTACTTTGGATTAAGGAGAATGAAAGGATGGGAGAGGGGATGACAATAGGAAAGACAATAGAATGAATCGGACATAACTCTCCTTTGTTCATATAGAGTATACGACCAGTGTAACTGTACATCAAGTACAACCACAAGAATGGGAAGTTATACTCCATGCACGTACAATATGTCAAAATACATTCTACTGTCATGTATAACAAAAAGAATAACTAACATTTTTTTTAATTTTCACTTTTTAAAATAGAAGACAGTTTTTGTTTGTTTTTTTATTTGTTTTCAGTGCTAGGGTTTGAACCCAGGGCCTCCTGTGTGCTACACAAGTGCCTACCACTGAGCCACAGCTCCCCCAAGTCCTACTTTTGATTTGATTTTTAGTTATAGATGGACACAATGTCTTTATTTTATTTGTTTATTTATTTATTTTTTATGTAATGCCGGAGATCGGCCCCAATGCCTCATGCATTCTAGGCAAGTGCTCTACCACTGAGCCACAATCCTGGCCCCAAGTCCTACTTTTTATTAATTTATTTTTTAAAATTTTTAAGTTTCCCAGGCTGGCCTTTCCATCTTCTTGCCTCAGCTTCCCAAAGAGCTGGAGTGACAAGTATGTGCTTCTGTGCCTTGCACAAATATATTTATATTTAATATTTGTTTCTAAACTTAAATTGGAAATCTGAATCTATACCAATATATTTAGTTTATAAAGTTCTATCTTACTTTCCCTTTTTTTAGAGTGAAAACTCTAATTCCTTACAATATCAACATATGTAATCATTTTCATAATCCTGTAATCCACTTAAAATAGTTTCAGAATTGCTTCATCTGTTTTACTACAATAAACCAAAAAATAAATAAATAAAATAAAGAAGAAGAAGAAGAGTTTAGGATGTTTTACAATTCTTTCTATGCCTTCCAAGATGGAGGGTAGGTTACCAGATAGAATCTTTGCAAGTGTCTTGGATTGTTCCTCTTCCTTCAGTGCTGTTCTTTCATTCATTTGATACATTATTGAGTTCATTTCCTTCAGCTTGCTTTCAGTTTGTTATCCCAATCCTTATTCATTTATTTTTTATTCTTTTGAACATGTAGGCTATTAACATGCCTCCATATAAAAAGGTATAATTGAGACATGTCACCCCCTCCATGTCCATCTCTCCCATTCTTTCCTTCCTCCCCGCCCCGCCCCAACTTAATTTATTTGTATAGTTTGAAAATGATGCATTCACATATTTGGACAGTCAGAAAATGTAGAAAGATTTTATTAACTTATATATACTATGCCTCCATATATCTAGTTTCTGTCAAACCAGTAACAACTCTTCCAGTTTCTTCTTATTCTTACAGAATAATGATGATGATTCATCCTACTACTTATATTATTATATTCCATTTTAAATTCTGTTATTTCACATTGCTTTTCTTTCATTAATTTAAATCCCTGGACTCCTTTCTTCCTTTTAAGTTCCCAATTTCATTGGTCTTGGTTATCCTTTCTGTATTTCTTTTTGTCAAGATAAGTAAAAGCATATGTATCATTTCCTCTTTGGTCTTAGTCCAAAGTTTATTACTTGTTCTTTTGCTTTTTCACTTATCTCTTGGAAATCACTTTTTGTCAGTCATAGAGATCAACTTTGCTGTTTTCCTACTGTATAGACCATTGTTTATTCATCAATTTCCTATATTTAGATAGTTTCCAATGTTTTAAAATAATAAGAAATACTGTGATTAATTGCATATATATTTTCTTTTCTTTTCTTTTTTTTTTTTTGATGGTGCTGGGGATTACAGCCATGGCCTTGTGCATGTAAGACAAACACTCTACCAACTGAGCTATATCCCCAGTCCTTTTTCCATATTTTTATTAGTGCATTACAGTTGTACATAATGGTGGGATTTATTGTTACATACTTGTACATGCACATAAAATAATAAAATAATTTGGTCAGTATCATTCCCCAGTATTCCCTCTTTCCTGCCCCAGTCCTTTTCTTCTATCTAACTGATTTCCCTTTATTTTTCATGAGATTTCCCAGCCACAAACTTTTCTTACCCTTTTCCTCTTTAATCTCCACATATGAGAGAAAACATACAACACTTAACCTTCTAAGTTTGGCTTATTTTGCTTAATGTAATGTTCTCAAGTTCCATCCATTTTCCTACAAATGACCTAATTTTTTTTTTCTTTTTTGG